TTTTTCACCACAACTTTTAAATTTTCTATATTTATCGCGTAATCGACCACCCATTTTAATATTATTGTATTAGAATATAAGATACAATCGATGTCAACAGCTAACGCACACACGATTACACGAAAAAGTAAAAACTACTACTAATAAAATCGGTAATATCTACTATTTGTTCAATAAATATTATTTATTATTATCAATGTTTTTCAACGGTGACAGTCGACGAACGACGAACAAATAAATCTATTATTATCTATAACTAATAAGCAATAAAAATTCGACGAAAAGACGGTCGGTGACTGCTGCCTGCTACCCGCATCACCACAGCGATACGTTGCGATTACGATAATATTGTATTATTGATATTTCAATATTTTTACATTGAATCAACTTCGTTATTTTTATATAATTTTTGATATAAATTTCTACTTTTTTCAAACGCGAGGCCCCAAATTTATGCAAAAAGCGTGAGGCCCAGGGCTCGGGCCCTGTTCGCCCCCCCCCCCCCCAAGGACGGTCCTGAATCTGTGAACAGTACAAAAGTATTTTTGTTAATTTCAAATTGCTATGTTCACAATATGTGTAATGGATACTATTCTTGTTTGGTAGTGTCTATTAGTGTGAACGACAATTTTAGAGACAATTTTGTAGGGAAAATAAGTTTTCGGTAAAAATAGCCAAACAGTACGTAATCTGTACAGCGGTTTTTGTAGGTATTACCCATGCGTATTGTAATGATAAGAAAAATAAATTCATGCCGCTGCTTGCAAGTTGCAACGTCTCGGACCTTCCCGTTTACTGTTGTTATTTGCGTACGCCGTACACTGACCGCGTGTTCCAACTTCCAACAATAAAATTTATATTTTAAATTTTATTTACGACGCGCGTGTCTGACATTTGTTAATTTGTTATTAATCATTATTACAACTTACGAATTGTGTGATACATTTCTTTATTGTTTTTTTTGTTTTTTAATTTTTATATTATTATAAATATTATTATGGCCGATGCTGATGTTGCGGATATGTTGAGGGCTTGGGGCCTGGAACAATATATTGATGTTTTTCAAAGTAAGTACCTACCTATGTAATATGTATCTAAAATTCATTCAAAATATGTAATTATTTAATATAAAATTATATAATACTTAAAAAATATTTATTTATACGGAATATATTCTGTGTTTTACCTGTCATACAACGATAGATATATAATTTAGATACAAAACAGTTAATTAAGAATTAATGCAGCTGAGTTAAAAACTAATGTTATATGATTGGTAATGTTAGTTAAAAAAATAAACATAGGTATTTTGTTTCTCTATATTTTACTCAAATTTCTCTACTGTTAGATGAAGGCATAGACATTACTTGATTAAACATTTTAACTGAAGATATGATGAAAGAACTTGTTCCTAAAATCGGTCATAGAGCAAAACTTAAGGCAAATGTAGATGAATGGAGAAAAGTACTAGATTTAACCAATGATACTCAAACTACATTTATGATGGTGAGTACAGAATCTTATATTGTAATTATTTCAACTAGGTTGATACAGGGTGATTATTCAAACATATTTTTCTTAACATTTTAATTTTATAATTGAACATGTGATTTAATAAATATTTCTTTATAGATACCTATATTTTAAGCTTCTATAGGATTTGAGGAGATATAGAAATATCTGTTTGGTTAGATTAGGTTAGGTACTGTTTATCTACTTTTCTGCACTTAAAATATTAAAATCATTATAAATAATTTAATTATTTATTATGATAATATTATATATAATACAGTGGAATCTCTATTTAACAAACTTAAAGGTTTTTTTTTTAAATACATTTTTTTTTCATTACATTTTTACATTTTTTTTTTCAAGAACTCATTTTTAGGGTACACAATTTAAGCAAATTCAAATAATTATATAAGTGAAATGTATGAGTATAATATAAATAAATTAAATGAATACATTCTAATTATATTAAGAACTTAGGTAGGTACATATGTAAATTATACATTTTTTTTTTTATTATTCTTTATTGTCAAAAAACTTTTTGATATCATGTTGATCAACTTTTGTACTTACCATTTTGACTATAAAAATTCTTGCAATTATTAAAATAATTAAAGAAGTTATCTGTTACATTTGTTATAGTGGTGTGCTAAAATCCTTGATGAAATGTCTACAATAATACTGAATTAATTTGATTTTTTTGTTTAAGAGAACATTTTTGAATGGAAAGTATTATGTTTCATTCAATTTGTTTTATTAAGAGTTTTGTTTAATAAAAGTTTGTTTAATTTAGATTCCATTATAATATTAATTTATGCATAAATGGTTTAATATTCAGTTATATTTTTGATTTTGATATAGGACATATCTTCTCCTTTGAATCTTGATGTTGAATCACCAACTACTTCATCATTTAGGAAGTGATACATGTTTTATATTAAGTCCATCAGACTCAAATATTTCCATCACACCTCTTGACTCTTCTATTAATCAACAGATATTAAGATAAACATCTAATTCATCTAATTCAAATCAGATATATTTTCAACACTCTAATGTAGATGTAGTATGTCATTCTTTAAAACTGCCAGTAATTATCAACTATCTTATTTAAATATTTATATTATTTGAATATAATGAATTTGTATTTTAGGGCCGGAATGTACTTAATTATTTGAAAAATTTCAAATTAAGGAAAAGCTATTTTGTTCAAGTATAAAGAAAGTGGCTTATTAGATAATTTTGGAAGAAGGCAGTTGTGTAATTTGATTGTACGAAAAGAACTTGAAAGCGAACCAGAGAAAATAGTTACGTCAGAAACATTTATTGCTGTCACAAGAAATCACTAATATTTTTCCAAAAGAACATATTAGCACTTATTTCATTCCGTACATGAATTATGGCAAGTTATTTTATATCAGAATTATATTTTAATTTTAAATTCTAAGTAATGTCTAATTATCTTAGTATAATACTAAGATACTATAGTAAAATTTGTTTTTATTTTTTATATTATACCTAGGACCTACAACAAAAAAAGCAGCAAAAGGAAAATTGTTGGACTGCTTTAACAATCGCAGAAGAGATTATAAAAAATCTGGTGTCATAACATCACATTCTAGACAAGCAGCCTCACCTATTGAACAACATTCTTTAAACTTAAACACCATAAACTCTGGTAATAATTAGTAGTGAACACTAAATATATATATATTAATTAATTTGTATTTATATATGTATTAAATGGTTAAACAATTCTTCTGTTCCCTGGGATTTAGTTGAAAAATATTGGAGTATTATCAGAAACTATAGACTTAAACATTTATTTAGTATAGAAACTCAAACAGTCTGTCAATATATGAATGAGTTTCCAGTATTAAAAAAACCCATGGGATATAATCTTGTAAGTCATTCTTAATACCATTGATTATAAATACTATAGATTGCTCACTGACCGGTTTAACATTTTATAAGTATGTTGTGAATTTCAAAAGATTTCGAAAATTTTTATAGTATTTATAGGTATTTGAAATTACCTAAAATGAGGATGAATACTATGCTTTTTTATTTAGGTTGATCTTGTATTATTTATCAATTAATAATTAGTTAATTTTAGCCATATTTCTGGTCAAATATGAAATAGTAAATACGTGTAGGTACACTGCAGACTCGAAAAATAAATTAAAATTGAAGAAAAAAACATACCATGGTAAAACCAATATACCTTTCTCGTTTCACTCAAAATCCAAAAAGCATAAAAATTAAAATATTTATAAATATTAAATAGTACAAACTAAGTCAAAATATTGATCCACCACATCCGTAATTTGTATCCGTTTTAATTTTTTTTGTTTTTTTCGTTAGTGACCGTTGTATATGCTTGTATCTCCTATGCAGTCGTGTAATTATCTAAAATTGTAAAATTGTTCTACGTTATTTTTTAATGTAGGTCCAAACTGCTCATTTGTTTCATCTTCGCCGGTACTAAAAGTATTGACACCGCAACATACATATAAAAATACCACAACAGATAGTAATACACCTGTTAAGAATATTTCAATATGCGAAAGTAGTCCTGCATCATTAACAACTATTTCTCTTACTACGAAAAATTGGGTGTCAAATTTAATTAGTCTTCCAAATGTTAATACTGTACCAATAAAAAAAACTCGTAATAATACAAGCAACCCGAAAAATTTGATTGTTCAAAATAATAAATTAAGAAAAAATTTAATCAAAATGAGAAGATTATTAAAACAAAAACGTTATATTATTCAAAGTCTCAAGGATTCAAAAAAAAAGCAACAAACTAAAAAAATTGAATCAAAAAAAATTTTTGAAATTACTAAATTTCCATCAGTGAACTCAAAGACTCTAACAACAATGCAAATACTACACAAAACACGTAAACCATGGACACCTAGGGAAAAAAAAGTTGCTCTATCTATTATAAATTACCTTCAACATATAAATACATGCGCCGAAACGGCATTATATTACCTGGAAAAAGTACTGTTCGTCATTGGCTAAATTCTATTAAATATTCCACTGGATTTTCCGTCGAGTACATGGAGCAAATTAAATTAAAGGTTTCCGAATTCAATTATTCAGAAAAAAAATGTGTTATCCTTCTTGACGAGATATCAATCATGAAATGCATAGAATACAACAAAACTTTAGATGTTATTGAAGGATTTGAAGATATAGGAACTTTAGGCCGAAGTGATAAAATTTGTTCTCATGCTTTGGTCGTTATGCTACGTGGTCTTTATGCAAATTGGAAGTTTCCTCTTTGTTATTTTTTTTTACGGGAAGTGGTATTAAAGGCGATAATCTGGTTCTTATTATAAAAGAGTGCGTACAAAAAATTATTGATTTGGGTTTGATGGCCACTTGCATAGTTTGTGATCAAGGTACTCAAAATCGTCGAATGTACACACTTCTTAAAGGGACCGAAGAAAATCCACACACAATAATATCTGGACAATAAATATTTTTGATTTATGATTTACCTCACCTTATAAAAAGTGTATGAAACAATTTACTAAACGGTGATTTCAAATTTGATAATACCAAACTTGCATCTATGAAAGACGTAATAAAAACATATGAAATTGATATTAAGAACAAATCACGTGCAATGCCTAAAATCACACCAACACATTTGGCTCCAAATCCATTTCAAAAAATGTCTTGCAAATTGGCTATTCAGCTTTTAAGTCACTCAGTTTTGGCGTCAATAAAAACATGTTTAACAACAGAAGAACTCAAATCACATTCGGCCATTGATACAGCTGAATTTATTGATAAAGTCAATAACATGTTTGACTCGGGGAATAGTAAAAATCTATATGATCTCAATCCAAACCGGAGACCAATTAGTAGTCATAACCCACAAGTATTGGAAAATTTAAATATGGCTAAAAAATTATTTCAGAATGCGGTCAAAATATGTCACAAAACAAACAAATCTAGTGTGCCTCCTTGTTTCACTGGGGTAATTTGGACTGTATCTGCGATTTTCCAACTATACGAAAATGAAAAAATAGATGAAAAACATTGTTATACAGAAGATGATTATTTTTTAATGACCAATAAGCTAACGCAAGATCCTCTGGAGAATTTATTTTCGATAATACGACAAAAAATGGGTATGTATACAAATTATGTAATTAGTGATAGGTATCAGTTTTTTTTATAAATTATATTTGCATAATTATCCATTATGTATAAGCAATAATTATTAGGTATAACAGAAATCCAACTGCTAGAACTTTTCGTTGTTGTTTTGGCCATATTTGTTCATATAGCCTAATGAAATGTTCTACAACATGTAATAACTGTGAACCGGATAGTGAGAAGTATATAACTGCTGACGTATTAAAGGATATAGAAATACCAGAAGAAACAAACTCCAGTATACAGACAGAAGTTCGAGAAACTGATTCAAATTCTAGTTCTAATTCACCATCTTCAATTGTTTCAATAACTTCAGTTATTAAAAAAACTCCAACACTAGAGTCTTGCTCAACTAAATATTTTGCTGGATATTTGGTCAACAAATGTTTGGAAAAATATTCATGTGCAATTTGTCACACTAATTTAACAAAATCTAATTTAAACTTAAATGATGAAGACCAAATTTTAATTTATTTTAAGACATACGATTTCCTAGGACCCACACAAGGACTTAAAGCGCCATCAGATTTAGTGATAAAAACCATTAAATTATGTTTATACGTATTTGATAAATATTTCAATAAAATTGAAAGTGAACTACAAGTACTAAAACAATTAAAAACTGAAGTAAACAAAGAAATAATTAAAACATCTCTAAATTTATTCAGTTTTACTCCATCATTGTGTATAGAACATAATAACTATATTATTGAACTACTATTGCGAACCAAAATTTTCAAGCAGTGCAAATGGGAAAATGAAGTGAATACAGGGAAGCACTTTCATAATGCAGCAAAGTTAAGAGTTTTACAAAATAAATAATTTAAAAAATAAATTGTACAAGAATTTTTCATTTTATTTACGTAAGTTGTTACTATATTTAATTATTATTTTAATATTCAATATTATTATTTTTATTTGTAACTTGTATAATTATGTATTTTATGTTTGTATTACTGCAGAGTGCCAATATGTTAAATATCTTGGTAATTATAGTAGATACTAGCACATAGAAATAATATAATAAGAAGAAATACAAACTAGAAAAAATAAATACGATTAAAATAATTTTATTAAATTCGTTCTGGACAAATTTTTCGGATCCGCTTTATTATTATTGTTATTTTTGAACTGAGTAAAAGAGTACTTAGATTAAGCTCAAAGTATGTATTCATTATTAATATATCGATACCTTAGAGCACACATATTCCATGTCCATTTTCCTAATTTTTGGCAAATCACTAAAGAAGTTTAGTTGTTTGCATAACTATAAAACTAGAACAAATATTCCTTTTTTTTATAATAATTATCTAAAATAAAATATTAATTATGAAGTATTTGAATTAAAAAAGGCGGTTTTAGATACTTATGCTATCAAAATCAATTAAATAACATTAAAAGTCGGATATTTGGACATAGCACATGTGTGCTCTTAGGTATCGATATATTGTATTTTTATATATTAAAGATTTTGTTGTATTTTCAGAAAACGAAGAATCGTCTTTGGTGGCAGCGTACTCAGACTGCTGTTTTAAAATTAGTCATGCTCTTCATGCAGAATACCCGGTTGAAAGTAAACCAGTTTGGTATTTTATTCAAAAAGGTTTCTACAAGTTAAAAATTTCATGGGATACAGAATATGTTACTGTTAATTCATTAATTAGTGATGTAGGTATTTTGGTTTAAATATAATTCTTTTCATTGTAATATAATATTATACATATATTTAATTCCTTAATTTTTTCAAAATGGTATCATGCTTTATTTGTAATCAAACATTTTCAACTATTCAAATTTTTATTAAACATTTTGAATATAAACATTTTAGTCATAACTTTTCTATTTACTATTGTGCTGAAAGAGATTGTAATCGTTCATTTAATTTATTAAATTCTTTTAAAAAACACCTTTCTTCTCATATAAAACACTTAACTATTAAATCTACTAGTAATAATGAAATAATTCATTCTCCATCATCATCTACAAGTAATCTTTTATGTGTTGATAGTAATAATATTGTTGCTGTTAATTCACTTCATGCATCAAATCCTGAACTAGAATTACCAATATTACCAATAAATAAATTTGTATCTTCATTATATTCAAATTCACAAAATCCCCGTAACATTGTTCAAGAAGTTATGGACAGATTAATGAAATTATAATAGGTATAACTGGTATATTGAAAAATAGTATTCTAGAGTTCTCTGCGGACAATGAAGAAATAAATTGTGAAGATTTTTATGATTATTTAAAATAAATATTAATATAAATAAAATAGATAAAACTTTTAGAAATTTAGATACGGAGTATAAACGGTTTAAATATTTCACTGAGCTTGGTACATATATACGATCACAAGATTATATAATAGGACAAAGACTAAATGAAACCACAAGAGCCAATATTTTTTCTATTACGCCAGTTAATTGTACTCAACAGTTAATCCCAATTAGTTTAGTTTTAAAAAAAAATTTTCAAATGAAGAGGATTTTATCAGACACATTAAAATATAAGAATGACATCATGCACTGTGATACTATTTTAATGAATTTCATACAAGGGAGTGTTTGGAAATAAAAACAGAAAGAACATAGCTCTCAATGTGTATTGCCAATTTTTTTGTTTTTTGATGACTATGAAGTAGGTAATCCACTCGGTAGTCATTCCGGTGTGCACAAACTAGGCGCTGTATATATTACAATACCTTGTTTACCACCTCATATTCAATCTACTCTAAAAACAATATTTTTAGCACTATTATTTCATTCGATAGATAGGCAAAAATTTGGTAACAATGTTATATTCAAACCACTTATAGATGAGTTAAATTTTTTAAAAGATCATGGTTTTGTTTATATAGATATTGAAATTAATGGAGAATTTATAAGAAATATTAAGTTTGAACTAGACCTTATTTTAGGAGACAATCTTGGTCTACACAGTATTACCGGCTTTGTTGAAAGTTTTTCGTCAAATTTTCCATGTCGAATGTGCAAGGTTACTAAAGAAGTATTGATAAAGCAATGTTATGTACACGGAAAAAAAAGAATGGTAATCATTACTAAAATATGATTGCTATTACCAGAATTTTCGGTTGCACCCATGACAACAATATGTTTGGTTTAAACTACAAGTGCTATTTGGTAAACTAAGTTTGTAACAGTTACAGTTTATTTAAGTTATAGATAGATAATAAAAATATAGTGTTCACCAAACTGATTTTTACGACACCTATTTATTTATGTAGATCAGTGGTTCTCAACCGGTGTGCCGCGGCACACTAGTGTGCCGCGAGA